GATCACCTGCCTCAAGAGCGTGCTGCTCACCTACAGCCTCGTCTTCTGGGTGAGACACCCCCCCGACGGCCGCTCCCCACGGCCCGCGGCGCCCCGTCCTCCCCGCGGCCGCTCGTGCGGGCGGTCGCCCCGCGCCCCGCGGCGCTCACGTCGGCGCCTCGGCCCCCGCAGGTCTCGGGCATCGTGCTGCTCGCCGTGGGCGTGTGGGGCCGCGTGAGCCTCGCCGTCTACTTCTCGCTGCTCGACGAGAAGGCCACCAACGTGCCCTTCGTGCTGGTGGGCGCCGGCGCCGTCGTCGTGCTCCTGGGCACCTTCGGCTGCTTCGCCACGTGCCGCGGCAGCACCTGGATGCTCAAGCTGGTAGGTGGCCCCGGGGGCGCCGCGCGGCGCGGCGGTGGGACCCCGCGTGGGGTGCCCGCCTCAGCGCGCCCCTCTCCGCCCGCAGTACGCCATGCTGCTGTCCCTCGTCTTCCTCATCGTCCTGGTGGCCGCCGTCGTCGGCTTCGTCTTCAGGCACGAGGTGAGCGGGGCTGCCCCACGTCACCCCCCTGCCGCCCCTCGTGCCCACCCTGGGGCTGGTTTCCCTCAGGGGGGTCGCAGGGTGCCCCAGTATTGGGGTTGCTCCTTCGGCGCGGGCAGAGCTGCCGTGGGAGCCCCACGTCCCACGGGAGCCGTGGGAAGGACGGAGCCCCCGGCCCGGCCGTCCCGCGGTGCCCCGGCCTCCTGCCAGAGCAGATAAAACAGCCCGGCCCTTAATTTCTGCCTTCCAGCCCTCTCCGGACCAAAGCAGAAAACATCCCTTTGCTTTTATTTCCCATAAATAAAGCTCCGACAAGGCTCCGCTCCTGGGCYGTGGAGCAGCCTGCCTGGGGGACCTGGCCCTACCGAGGTGCCTGTTGTTGCACACGATGTCCCCGGCACCGCAGCGTGTACGAGCTGCCTTTTCATATGGGAGAGGATACACAGGCTGTGGGGCSGGTGTTCCTGCCGTGGCCGAGAGGAAGAACTTCCTCCATGTGAGGAAGAACTCCTTCCCTGTGAGGGTGACAGAGCCCTGGAACAGGCTGCCCAGGGAGGCTGTGGAGTCTCCTTCTCTAGAGGTCTTCAGAACCCGCCTGGATGCCGCCCTGTGCTCTTGGTCCCTGCTCGAGCAGCGTGGTTGGACTAGATGATCTCTGGAGGTCCCTTCCACCCTTAACCCTTCTGTGATCCTGTGTGAGAGGTGGCCGGCGCGGACCGTGGGGCTGTGGCTCCCGGCGCCGGGCCGGCCCATGTGCAGGGTGTGCGTGGAGGGCGCCCCGCTCCGTGGCCTCTTCCTCGCAGYGCCTAAAAGGGCTCTTGCAGATCAAGGCGAACTTCGAGACCAACCTTAACCTGGCCCTGAGGAATTACAACGCGACGGTGGATCAGCACAGCGATGCCGTGGACACCATCCAGAGAACAGTGAGTGCCCGTGTCCTCGCGGTGCTCACGTGCCCGTGTCACCCAGACACGCCGGCCGGTGCCCGGGGCGCTGCAGGCTGGGCTGTGCCTTTCCATCACGGGCCTGGCCGCTCTGCTGTGCTACGGGGTGTTTATTAGAGGGTGCTGCTGTGAGGCTGTTGTGTCCTCCTGCTGCTCCCCGAGGCTGGGGCTGTTCAGCAGCACTCCCGCCCCTGCCTGCCCGCAGGAGAAGCAGCTGGGAGCCCATGGAAAGCTTCTGCTCTGGGTTACATGCCCTGCTGTGGGGTCTGCCACGTGCTGGCACCGTGTGGAGCASAGGCGCCTCTTGCCTCCCCAAGGGTCACAGTGTGTTCCAGTTTGGGGGGAATGACACTTCAGGGAAGAGGTAGGAGAATGAGATTAGGGGCAGTTTCTAGATGGCTCCCAGGATGCTGAGAGATGGGTCCTGGAGCTGCAGRAGTGGCAGCCGAGTGCCCTGGCACAACCAAGCCCTTCCCCTCTCGCTGATCTCCCTCTCCAGCTCCACTGCTGCGGGGTGCAGAACTACACGGACTGGGAGAAGACCGAGTACTTCRCCCAGAGGGGAATCCCACAGAGCTGCTGCAAGAGCCAGGACTGCCCGGAGGGGGATCTGAAGGACCTGAGCAAAGCCAAGGCCAAAGTCTTTGTGGATGTAAGTGGAGCTCGGAAAAATCCTCCTGCACGTCCTGGAGGTGGGCGGTGGAGAGGGGCTTGACCTTCCCCCGGGAGCCTCGGAAGGAGTTTTCAAGCTGCAGACAGATTTTCCTCGGGGGAGTGAAGGGGAAGGAGTCTCGGAGCTGCCCTAACGTCGGCTTTGAAGTTCCCCTAGTCCTTCACCCTCAACATTTGTGACCCTGCAGTTTGCACTCGGGGGGTGTGCTGGAGCGCAGGTGAACGAGGAGGTGGATTCCTAGAAACGTGTTTTTCAGTAGCGCTGACGTCTCCACTGCCGTGCAAAGTCCTGAGCCAGCGGTGACTTCACCCAGCAGGGATTGTTGGGTGATGAGCGAAGGGGGTTATGCGAGGGACACTCCTGTGATGAGTCACTGTGTTTAACCAAGTGCTCGCGGTGAGAAAACCCCAAGGACACCGCTCCCCTTGATAACCAGCTGGGCTCAGAGGGCGATTAGCACAGGGCTGATACYGGAATGACTTTGCCCAGGTCAGGCAGTCTGGCAGGAACCAGGAACCCTGGGCTTCTTGCTCAGTCTCCTGCTCCGGAGCCGTTCCTGGAGCTGAGTTGGGGCAGTGCTCAGCACTGGCCTTGCACGACACCTTTCCCTCCCCTGCAGGGCTGTTTTTTCCTCGTGACATCGACGATGGAGTCAAAAATGAGCATTGTGGCTGGAATCTCCTTCGGCATTGCGTGCTTCCAGGTAAAATCTCCCCTGGTGTCTGGCACAGGARCAGTGCTGAGCGAGCCAGCGGGTCTCCAGAGGCATTTTAATTCATGCAGGGTCTGTTAGGTTTCCAAAGGGCTCGGCCCATCMGAGCTCTTTTGCAGATTCCCTTTGCTGTCAACCTGACCTCTCAGCAGTCTGCAGTTTTCAGAGACTGAAGCAGCAGCTCTGTTTCCATGAGCCCAGGTTATCTGAGCAGAGCTCTCTCCTGAAACACTCTAAGAAAATCCAAAGCAGCCAAACAGAACCTGTGCTGGGCGAACACGTTGCGTTTGCTGCTGGCAGGAATCAAACCAGTGCCCTGCTTCTTCCTCCCCACCAATACTCCCTTTTGCCAGGGAAGTGTTTTAGGATCACCTWTCTGGACAGCTGGGTGCCCCAGAGCACCCATGAGGTACCACGCTGGTGACTCTGACAGGCAGGACCTCATGCTCCACATACCACCTTAACCTGCTGCTGCCGCTTCCCCCTCCGGCTCTTCAACTCCCGTTTACTTTTTCCTGTAGGATACTTCCTGCACGGGCTTCCAGCAACAATGTAGTGAGTGTCCTTAGGCTGACAGGCTTTATCCCAGCAGGAAACGAGGCCTCTGGCCCTGAGCTCCTTGCTAAATCGGGCTTTGTGCGGGGTGAATGCAGCGCTTGGGATTTCCCGAGGAGCTGCGCACAATGGCGCTGAGCGCCCGGAGAAGCCGGGAGCTGCTGGCTGCACCACAGGGCTTATTTAGCTGGTTTCTGGAGCCCCACTCGGCTCTGGGAGCCGAGCACTTGCTGAGCGAGCTCGGCAGGCTCCAGCTTTGGAGGAACCCGATTGTGGTGCTTATTGTGCGCAGCGCCCAGAAGCTGCGGTGGGACCCAGGAGCGCTGCCCGCCCCGGGGAGCTACAGGTATCAGCACGAGCTCGGGGAGGGGAGAGGAGGAATCCCGCCAAGATCCTCCTGCCGCAGTGAGCAGGCTGCTGCGTTCCCTGCAGCAGGAGCCGTTGGCTGCGCAGGGGGCAGRAGCCAACGGGCCCTTGCTGCAGTTTGTGCTCGGAAATGTCCCGGATTCTGGCTCAGAGAGGGCTGGAGCCGCTCGGTTCTGCCCAGCTGCTTTCCCACTTCTTCTCCTTTGCTGGCCTGTGCTTTGCTCGCCGTGACGTCCCAGGCTGTGCTCTGTGTGGGGCCAGTGGGACGTGACTGACACGCAAATGGGGAGCGGAGCTGCCTGCCTCCAGCAGGCCTGGCCGCCTAATTATCTCAGCTAATGCTAGGTTTGGGAATTGTAGCCGTTTCCTGGTTTTTATCACGCTTTCAGCGAGCGTTGCTGTGTCGTGCAGCCAGCAGGGACCAATCATGTAAATGTGCCTTTAACTTCGCTGGTGTAGGTCAAGCTGCCCGTGTGTGCCTGCCTGCTGTATCAGACCCTGGACGCCTGCAAAGGGCACGGGGGGCCGTGTTGTGATAACAGCAGCATGTCCTTCAGATGCTGGGTTGTTGCTGATGTGAAAACACCAGCTTTGCTTCCCCACCGTCCTTGCAGCAGCGAGAGGTGGTTGCTGTTCTCCAGTGATTGTGTAATTGGCTGTGATGCTCCTGATACCTGTTTAATCTCTGAAATTACCATAAAACAGTAGATGCTTCATAAAGCAGAATGTAACAGGAGGGCATGTGGAGCCTCTCTCACAAGAAACTTGTGTGGCTGGTGCCTGCCACCATCTTCTCACTTGCTGGGGCACAGCAGCCTGCRTTGTGGCTTGTAAATCCCACTGTCCATGTCTGGCTTCTGTAAAACTGAGACCTGAGTGCCTCTTGTTCTAGAGCAAGCTGTCAGCCTTCTGTCCTAAAAYACTGTGTCCTGTTTTTGGCTGTCTTGACTGTGTTTTTTCCCTTTTCAGCTAATTGGCATCTTCCTGGCGTGCTGCCTGTCCCGGCACATCACAAACAATCAGTACGAGATGGTGTAGCTGGCCCCAGCACGCTGCGGCTGTGACCAAGGTACGTCTCTCCAGGGACATAAGCTGTGGGTTTGCCTGTGTTTATGCAGTAAGTTTCTTTGCGATCTGCTGCACGTCTCTCTTGGCTTTATGCATGACTCCTAAAGYGATATTTAGGTGGTGGACGCTCTCTTTTTGTAGTGGGATGAAGGGAATATGACCCTTTCTAGATCAAGGAGGGAGTGGACTGTTTGTGCAGGTCAACAGAACCACTGCCTGGTATTTGATTTCCCCACTGTTTCATCCTATTAGTGCTGCACCTCCAGCTCCTGCTGCAGCTCATCCCATGGACTGTCCCTGGCTGCTTCTGGTCCCCTCCTGCAGCGTGGCTCTTCCCAGTGAGCTGCAGCATGGGCTGCTCCCATCCCACTCCCCAAAGCTGTCTTTCCATCCCTGGCCTCTGCCATGGGGTGAAAGCCCCAGGGGACTTTCAGTGCAGAGCCTGGTGCCAAATGCTGATGTGTGTCCTGCAGGAAGAGGGCACTTGCAAACCTGTGTCTGCTGTGTAATTTTACACTGTGTGTACATCCAGCCCTTCTGTGTTGGAAGCTAGTCTGTTAACGCTTTGTCTCCTGAATTGCAGGGAATTCCCTCTGCTCTCCCGTGTCTGGGGAAAGCGTAGCCATCTTCAATATTCCTCCGGACGCCGCTTCGTGGAATCACGCTTTGAATCGACTGATCTTCTTCTCAACTGGCTCCTAGAAACGAGTGCAACAGCTGTTCTGTTGCGCTCAGGGACTTGTCCTAACACTACTCTGCTGTACCACTGAGTGGGATAATTAGTGTAGCTGAGGTGGTTACAGTAAGTGCGTTCCTGCGGGCGCTGCAGTCGCGGCTCTCGCCTCAGCCATGCACTGAAGTGCCGTGTTGAAGCAGACGCTGCTGTCAGACCGTGCTGGCGGCCTCGCGGGACTCTCCCGTGCTCTTATCTGGTGCCTCCGCGGGRAAAGCGGCGCTTTCTCTCATCTCTGACCTCTGCTCCCGGCCTTTGAAATCCCAGCGCTGTTCAGGCTCGCTCACTGGATGGGGTTGCTCTTGAGATGGGGCTGATGCCCCATTAAAAACTGCCCTGCCTGCCTGAAGCTCTTTGTTCAGCAAGGCCTCAGCTTGTTCCCAGGTTTTCTCGTCCCCATGCTGGGTTTTATATACTTTTTTATAGTTGTACTTTTTTAAGGAGTCATATTCCTTTCTTAATCAGGCCGTAGTGATTCTTTGTTAGTTGTAGCAAGGTTTGGTGATGTAGCTCCTGGTGCCTTTATCCTGGTAGGTGTCCTTGCACCGAGTCAGCTGTGACTTGATTGTCAGTATTATATGCTGCTTTAACTCGTTTTGTTTGTTGAGTAGAACACTTTTGTCACGGGATACAATAAATATTGAAATATTTTACTCTATGAGCATATCCTCGGCTCTTCCTCTAATCTGTAACTTCCTCTGCTGAAATAGCTGCAATCAGCAGCAAAAAASCTGTCTGCAAGGTAATCCATTGAGCCCAGGCCAGCCAGTCACCTCTGGGCCTCTGCAGCTCATGCTTCTCAGATGCTCAGCGGTACATTGCACTTGCACGTAACTTCTTCAGCTGGATGCTTGTCAAAAACTATACTCTAGCACTGCTGCAGGAGGAGGCCTGAAGCCCTCTGGATAAATGCAGAGACCAGAGTTCAGCCTTCATGTAAGCATGGGCATCCTCTGCTCTGCCTGCTGCGTTTCGCTGTGATGGACAAAACTTGTGTGGAGCAAAGTGCACTGCAGCACTCTCAGAGGTGCCCGAGTGCAGTTCCTCTTCCTGGGACAAGAAAAGGGGCTTCAAGCTTTGTGTTTTTGTAGTGCTGCCTTCCTCTGCAGAAATTCGTCAGCAGGTGGCATAGAGCTTTTGAAAGCAATAGCTTAAAACACTCCATCCTCTGAGCTTGATGTTTTTTTAGATTTCCAACACTGAACTTGCTGTGGCTGCTGGGGCAAAGTTTGGAGCAGCCTGCCAGCTGCCAGGGCTGCATTTTTCCATCCCCACCAAGGACGCGTGCTTCAAAGGCGCGGTTAAGCYGTGAGTTGAGTGGTGGCCTCTCATCATCCTCAGCCCTCAGGCAAATACTGGTGCTGTSCCGGGCGAGCTGCCCCAGCGAGCCCGTGATGTGGTGCAGCAGTGGGGCAGCGGTGCTTCCTCCACTTCCCTGCTGACGGAGAAGCCCCAGGGGGATCACCTGGGAATGCTTGGGTCACGTTTCACCACGGTGAGTAAATCAAAGCGGTGTCGGCTCCTGGCTGACTCTCCAAAAGCCTCCTGGATTTGGAAGGAGAGGCAGAGTGCGTCAGAGCATTGGAACAGCGTTGGAGAGAGAGCAGCTGGTTGCAGTTAATGGGTGGGCAGAGACAGGGCAGAAACACCTGAGCGTGTCGGGCTGCCTTCAGATAAACCCATCGCAGAAGCTGTGCAGGAGCAAGGAGACCTGAGATCCTCCCTTTTTGGCTGCCTTGTGCTGTTCAGGTCTGTGTGTGCCAAAAAGCTTCCTCAGATGGGTGCAGCAGGGCCCCTTCGTGGGTCAGCACTTGGAATCTGCTCGCTGTGCTGTGTACCCAAGTGAAGCCGGAGCAGGTAAACCTTGGAGACAGCGGCTGCCCCTCGCACCGCTCCCCTACCCCGGCGGGTTGCTCCTTGTGCGGCGTTGGAGCCGATGGCRGAGCTGCCGGGCGGCTGCCGGCAGAGGGTAGCACAGCGAGGCTGACGCGCCCGGGCTGCTGCAGCAAAGCTCCAGCGCTGGCTTTTCCCCTATGAGGCTCTGGGCTGGGCTGCAGTCCCCGCTGGCAGTGCAGCAGCTGCCCTGGGACTGCCCGGTTGTGCCATTTAGCTCCTCCGGGGTTGATTTTTCCAGGGATTGTGAGCATTGAGTTGCTCGCGTTTAGCTTCCCTTGATGTAAGCGCTCAGGTGGTACCAGCACAAAGCCTAATAAATAGAACTTGGAGAGAGGGATAAAGGGATTTAGTGTCAGGTATAAAAGGATGCGCGTGTTCCCCTGTGTCAGGAACATAATCCAAACACGGACAGACAGGTTGGGCTTCTGTGGTGTGCCGGGGGCTCAGGATAGAGCCCAGCCAGGGCCCCTTGCCCAGCTTCAAGGCAGATTTTCTTCTGGAGCTCCCAGCCTGATGTGGGCTGGTGCGGGAGGAGCRGCTTGCAGGAGCACAGCCGTTGCARGAGGTGGCTGTGTGGCTGCGCTGAGACCTGCCCTGCTCGTCACACAGTTGTGACGGGTGGTGGGATCCTGGAGCAGTGTCCCAGGGAGCGGTGTGAGCGCTATCCGGCCCTGCCCTGCATAGTGGGCTCCTCTGTCCGTGTGTTTTGCAGCTTGTAGTTCCCATATGTAAAAGAATTACATAAGGACTTTTGAGTCCCAGCCAGTGCCAGGGAAACRTCTTGCTCCCCAAGTTGCTTGAGGGATGTCAGAGTTTCAAAGCTCTTTGGCAGTCAACGGTTCTCTGGGATGAGAATGAAAATTTGGTATCTGGCTTGGGCACTGATGCCACAAATCCTGAGAAACCTTTGGGGAGGTTTTGAAGCGCCTGAGCCCTGTGGAGGCTGCAGGGGAATGTGGTGCTTTCCAAGCCGGCAGTGGCCACGTGCCTGCGGGTTCGCTCCTTCTTTGGGAGCGACGTGAGGGAGAGGAGAGGGGCCCACGGCCAGAAGGGCCTCGGGATGATTTACTGTTGCTCACTGCTGATATACGGAGTAAAGRGAATAAATTCACTCTTTCACTGCACGTCCAACTAGGCCTGAGTAATCTCAGGGCTATGGCAACCTGGGTGCTTCCCATGCCTGAGGCCAGGTTATCTGGGAAGCGGAGGGGCTGGGAGCCCRGCAGAGGATGTGGGGGCCCAGGAGAGATGGGAATGCAGGGGATGGAGGTGGAAGTGCTCTGGTCCCGGGGCTGTGTGAGCTTGGCACGGCCCCTTTGCCAGGCGTGTGTCCCRCAAGATCCTTCTGCTGCTGCGTGTCCTCTTTTACCGCAGCAAAGGTTTTAATGGAAAAGATAGGCACGAAAGTGGGGATTTTGGCTGCTGGCCCTCAGTGCTGCTGGAAGCGGAACATCCTTCTCCATCCGGCACTAGCTTTGGGGATGTTTTCCCACCTCCTGTCGCTGGGTTTTGCAGAGCAGGCCCGGCCGCAGCCCAGGACACAGCTGGGCGCAGCGAGCAGCAATGGCAGGAAGCAGGACGGGTCCCTCTGCACCTTCCCGGCTGGGTGAGCCCTGGCGCCGAGTTACRAGTTACCAATGCCGCCGATGACGGGGCAGTTAGATCACTTCAGAGAGCCATCAAGCCCCATGGACAGACTAAACAACTCTCCTCTCCTTTGCAATCCTCATACAAGACGTTTATTGTTGGCCTCCGGGCGCTCAGCGTGGCGCCCATCCAGTCAAGCACGACTGTCCCCGTCCCCCTGGGAGCCGCCCGCCCGTGTCCCCCCAAGGCCGTAGGCCGCTCCTGGTAGCCAAGCCCATAACAACTTATACTTTAGCTACCCCTGCTAGGCGGGGCTGGGTGTCGGCCTGGCGGGCGCCAGCGTGCTAGACCCGGCCCAGCATGCGTGCTATCCACCAGTTGCAGGGCATGATGAGGCGGCAGATGACACGGCCGCCCTGGTAGCAGTAGGGGTAGGGGTGGTAGCCCCCCAGGGGCTCGCACACGCGCCGGCAGTAGCGCTGCGCGCGCCGGCACTGCCTGCAGCAGTAGCCCCGCTCGTCCCACAGCGGGTGGAACTCCAGCCCGTTCTCCGTCTGTGGAGAGAGAGATGGCGTCAGGGGAGCAGCTTGGAAGCACAGCCAGGACCCCCGGGGCAAGACCTGGATGCTCAAGCATGGCTGAAGCACCGAGAAGGGTGGACCAGRCACCCTAAAGCAGCATCAGGACAACTTGGAGCACGTCTGGGGCACCAGGAGCAAACCAGGATACCCCAGAGCATGGCTGGTGCACCAAGAAGCACAGCCCAGACCCCTGAAGTGCGGCTGGAGGCTTGCAGTGCTATGGGGACCATGGGCAGCAGCGCAGGGCTCGCTGCAGGATGCCCGACCTGGAGGACCACAGGTACTTCTTGGCTGGTAGCCAGCACTTTCCTTCCATGGGCACCCATCTGCCTGCCCCACATGCAGCCTGCTGCCTCCCTGCAGCTGCATTGCAGAGGAACGCATCTCCTCCCTGCTTCCCACCAGCCTGCGATGGCCACGGCGCGTGGGCAGCACCCGCAGGAGCCCCCAGGGACAGGCAGGTCCCCCGCACTCACGTAGTCGTTGACGGGCAGGTCCTCCTCGGTGAGCTGCCGTGCCCGGCGCTTGGGCCCCGCGGGCGCGTCCTTCTCCACCCTGCGCTCGCTGCCCCCATCCAGCCAGCTCTGGTTGTCCACAAGCAGCTCAGCGCCGTCTTCCCCCTCGCCGAGGCTGGCGAGCTCAGGAGCTGGGGAAAGAGCCCCAACRTCACTGTTTTGACACCGTTTTCACCTTGCGAGGGGGTTTGAAACTAGATTGTTCTGCTAGAAATGGGTTAGAGAGCATGTGCAATTATATGTGGGATCTGAGAGGTCACCACCTCTGGTGAGCAGCTGGAGGTGGCAGCCCTGTCGTGTGACTGAGACGCGAGCAGAATAGGAGGTCTGCTCCCCCTCTGATGTTCACGCGGCGACAGGAATTTAGGTGTCCYGGTTTCCAGCCACGCTGGCTTCTTTGCAGGTACCAAAGCGGGTTTCTCTTTGCTACGAGGAGGGTGGCCCCTGGGCACCACGCAGGGAGCTGAGCGCCTCGYGGTGAGAAGCTTCAGCTCCTCTTCTCTTGCTGCCTGTGCTCTCACCCGGTTGCACGAAACCCTCTTTTCAGGCCCGAGATTTACGAGCAGGCTGCAAGCTCAGGCTCCCTGCTCGCTCAGTGAGGGGAATTTAGCAGGGGCAGAGGGGCCGTGGTGGTGGCTGTGGCTCTGCTCCTGCAGCAGAGCAGAACCGGACCCACGGGCCTGCAAGGAGCTCTGCGTGGGAGGGAAAGAACTCCCCATACCTGCTATCAGCGTTGGGTGGATCCAGTAGATGGTCACGTTTCTGCAGATGTCAAAGATTTTGGAGCTCTTCAGAAACTCCTTGTTCTGAATGGGCTTTTCTCCAGGGACCCAGACCATGGACTGCTCCAAGTAGGTGCTTGTAATTTCTTCTCCCTGGAAGGAGAAGGAGATTATGTCGTGGCATGCAGGGACACGCTCTGCCCACATCTTCTGCTCCTCCTCTGCTTGGCTCGCCCCGTGCACCTCTTCCCTCTGAAGAAGCAGGGAGGTTTTAGATTTTGCCCCACTTGTTCCTTTGGCCCAGGGTTTGGTCTCTTGCTGGATGCAAGTGCAATATCCAGCACCACCTGCTCTCTCCTCCCTCCATCCATGTGCTCCAAGAGCCTTCTCCTTCACTGTCCCCACCAGCTGGAACTGCCTTCTGGAGCTCCCCAGCTCATCTGATACCACAGATTAAAACAACTCCCTTTCTGCTTTGCTCTTACTACTTAATTTCCCTCTCCTTCTGCTACTGATTTGGTGATCGAACACTCTAATTTATTCCTCACCGAAACTGTGCGGCTGCACTCTAATTTATAACACGTGTTGTGTACGCTGCCTTATTCCCCGTGTATTTTGGCAGGACTTAGAAGGGGAGATATAAAAAGATTTTTGGATAGGTCCGTGCTGAGCTCCCTGCCAGAGCAGCCCTGTGCTGTCAGTCATGGTAGCCCATAGAGCAAGTTGGCAGCTTCCTTCCAGAAGGAGTCTAGAGCAGTATTTCTCATTTAGAGAGGATTTCTCATTCTGTGTGTATTTCTCATTTTTGATTTTCTCAGAAGCRTTACAAGCATAAAAAGGCCTTTTCCTGATCTCCTGCATCACAGGGACAGGCATTAGGGGAACAAGGATCTCCTGGGTCTGTGGTGTTTGTGGTCCCAGCATGGGGCGGACGATGAGGAGACACAAGCATCCTGCAGCCCAGCCACATCTCCCCCCATGGTGCCGAGGATGACCAGACTCCAAGTTTTCTGAATCCTTTCCATGAATACTGATTTTTTTTTTCCTCCTTTTGTGCTTCCCTATCGTCAAAAAACCTGCAGAGAGCAGGGGAGGGAGGGAGAGGAACGATTAGTGCTGGACACATCGGAGCATGTGCTTCCCAGTTTCTCAAAAGGCCACAGACTCCTAGGAAGAAATGACTGGGTCTTAAATCTACATTTATCTCATTGGGTTTTACATTTCAGTCGTCTACCTGGGGCAATGTTCTGCCAAAGATGGAAAAGTCATATCTATTTTATGATGGTAACAGAAAAGATCTATTAGCTTCTTATGGCAAAATCAAAGAATCTGTGTCTTGGAATTTAGGTCATGATTCAGGGAAATGTCTCCACACACGTTTTATTTTAAACACATGTTCTGGTGGTGTTTTGAGTGGAACAGCTTCTTTGAGGGGGAATTAAGCTGTCCAACACCCTTCTCCGTGTCCATGGGGAGATGTGAGGCCTGAAGGGCTGGGACAGCACTGGGGCCTTGGAGGAGCCACGCGGGGAAGGTCCCAGCATGGGAATGTGGCCGTGGTTGGGCTGGGCACCAGGAGCAGTGGGAAAGGGACGGGAGCAGCATTCCAGACATGTCCTGAGCGTGCGGATCCATTACCCCTCTCAGCTCGCAGGGATTCAAGCTAGTGTTTAAGCGTTCTCTGGAATTGCATTCCTTAAATGTGGCTGCTCTTTTAAACTCATTACTCCAGCACAAGGAYGTGGGGCTCAATTCACAGGGAAAACAATTTACTTGGTGTCTGCTAATCCCGTGCTGCCTTGCGCCCTTTTGACTGCAACAGGATTATTGTTCTCGAGCTCCCACATTGTGCTGAGAGGTTTTGTCTGCCTGTTGTCTAATCCTGGCTCTTTCTCAGTGCTATATTGAGAAGCCACCCTCTGAAATATGATAATTTTGCGACGTGGTCACAACTCGTTATTTCTTCCTTGCAAATTCTGCAGGGAAACTGAAGGAGAGTGCCGAGAAAAGCGGGGAAGAGGGTTTCCCTGGGCTCGCCCAGCTCCGTCCCGGCTGTTATTTACCTACCTCGAGTTCGGGGATCTTGGCCTCCGTGGTCTCGGGTAGGACTTTAGTCTGCGTTTTGATGAAGCATTTCTGCAGCCCCACGAAGAAGATGCCGGTTATTCCCTGCAGCAGCAACACAGACAGCACAGATAAATAGCGGCATCGCAGCGAGCGCTCAGCTGAGCCGGGGCTCAGGCTTATTCTTCCTGTTGATGCTTTTGTGCAAACTCCGCTCAGCTGCAATGCTAAGATGTACTCACAGGTTCTCCTAGGGGATACTGCATTTCATGGTTCGGGAGAATAAGGCTTTTTATAAATAGTTTAAGGCAGATAGTCATCAAATTTTACTTTGCTCCCCTTTCCCTTGTAACTACCCCGAGCTCTGGTAATCATAAATAAATATATGCAGAATAGCATCTGACCGTTATGGTTATATGAGCATTCAGCCTTCAGTTCCTGCTAGGCTATTAGCTGGAAATTTTGCCATATGTCACTGCACAGGGTATTTCCCTACAAATTTTAATTAGGTTTCAGAGAGAGCCTACAACGTTGTCACGAGGTTTTAATGCTCTCCAGACAGATAAATGTACTGAGTTGGGATAGATTTATGGTGATTGCATTCCTTTGCAAGGGTAAATCCGATAACTAGATCTAGCTTTTAAAATGTATTTCCTTGGAACTGAACCACGCCAGTATTAAATACTGGTGCAAGCTCGTAGAGTTATATATATCTTTTCCTCTGGAAGCATCTCCAGACGGCTGGCGTGGAGGCGCTGCTCTCCCTGGCCTGGAATAAATCCCGTCGGGAATTTGTGTGTCCCGCAGGTGTCCCTGCTGCAATCGTGGTGGCCACGCTCACGTTTTTGAAGTCGTGGATCTCCAGGATCTCCTCGCTGCCGTTGCCCGTGCGGAAGGTCTCGGTCCTGGCCAGCGGGTCGATCTCCATCACGACCTTCTGCTTCTCGCCACCGCTGAGGAACGTCCGCTCCAGCCCGTAGAGCTGCAGGGGCGAGAGCGTGCGGCGCCTGCTGCTTTTGGGGAGAAACGGTGGTAAAAGCGCCCCTCCGAACCGGCCTGGGCGGCACGCGGCTGTGCCCTCTCCGTAAGCGGTTTGCCCACCCCCTGCCAGTGCTTCGCTGTCCGGATGGATGCTCCGGCATCGGCCGCACGGAGCGGGTCCCGGGCGGTCCCCCCGCCAGGCAAYGCGCTCCCCGCTCGCTACTCACCGTGATGCTGCCATAGAGGGGCAGGGGTGCCAGCGGGTCTGTGCTATGGGACAAAAAATCAGTGGGAAGCCTGAGGTGGCTGCAAGAGCACCCATTTGGCTGGACAAGCCGTGCARGGCGCTGTGCACAAGTGTCACAGCCCTATGCAGCTTTAGGGGAGGCTGTGGCAGTGCCTGTCCTGCGGGACGTGATGCTAAAGGGCTCTGGGCATGGGGCACGGAGCAGCGCTGTGGCCTGGCACTGGGGACAAAGGTTGTCCCATATCTGCTGAGCACCCAGCACGCAGCAATTTGCATTTTGCCTTTCGCAAAAAAATGTAATTTGCATTTACAGAGCGGATGTTTTCCAACCTGCTGGATGCCCCAGCAGCTGCAAAATGGAATTGCACGGAAAGGGCAGTGGAAGGAACGAGGCCAGTGCAGCCGCAGCATCCCATGGCCCCCGTGCCCACCGTCCCCTCGCGCTGCAGTCGCGCTCGAGCACAGAATATAACCCGTGACAATCAATCACGGCCGCGTCCTGGCTTTCTCTCCTCTCTGCGCCGCGGCATAATGGCTTTTCCACCGGTTTCTGGCAAGATAATTGAAATGAAATGGAAAATATTTTCTTACTTGTCATAAAATTTGCTGCCGGTGAAAGGGAGTAACTTTAACTCTTTGCGGCGTCGCTCTCCCCTCCCCTGCAATTATCGGTTAGGAAAGGAGAGCACTGACAGAAAGGAGGAAAAAGCAGCCCTTATAGAGCAAAAGTCAGACATAACAAAAGAAACATTTTTCCAAAGCCCCCGTGAATTCTTGTGGTGCAGGGAGATGCATTTCGCAAAGCCATGAGCGTTTCGGAGGAGGGTTAAGCGCTTCAGGAGGCATCGCTTGCTGGCAATGGGGCAGCTCCCGCTGAAGAGAAGGGGGCTCTGCAAGTCTGTACTCACTTTTTTGGGCGTTGGGCTCCAGAGATACTTGACACCAAAAAATACCAGAATAAGAAAAATCCCCAGGATGCAAAAGAGCAGCGCGCAGGTCTTGCATCGGGTGCAGCTCTTCTTTGGGGGCTTCGCTGCTTCTGCCTGATTAATTGCAAGAGAGCAAGATCCCGGGGTCTGCCGGGGGGTCGGCAAATCCCGGGAGGCAGCTCGGGCGCYGCAAAGAAACCCCAAAACTTACGTCGAGGAAGCGGCAGCCGTYGGGGCAGCGCGGAGCCGGCCCTGCCATGGTGTCCCCTGCTCGCGAGGACGGAGCCGCTGCGCGGGAGCGGGGCCGGCGCCGGATGCACATGCCAGCAGGGAGACGGGGAGAGGGCCGTTCCTGGCTCCGCGCGGCCACGCCGCTGCCAGCCCCGCCGGGGAGCCGCAGACGTGGCCCCGCGTGCGGCGCGGGGGCTGCGGGGCTCTGCGGAGCAGCACGCGCAGGGCTGCGGGTGCGTTGGGGACGTGCGTGTGCACTGGGGATGTGCACGTGTGTGTGCTGTGTGTGCATTGGGGATGAGCGTGGGTGTGCGTTGGAGATGTGTGTGTGTGCGTTGGAGATGTGCACATGTGTGTGGCCTGTGTGCATTAGAGATGTGCATGTGTGCGTGCATGGGAGATGTACACACGCGTGCAACCTGTATGCATTAGAGATATGCACACGTGTGTGGCCTGTGTGCATTGGAGATGTGCATGTGGTTGCAGACAGTGTGCATTGGCATCATGAATGTGTGTGTGGCCAGTGTGCATTGCAGTTGTGCACACGTGCAGCCTGTGTGCATCGGAGACATGCATGCATGAGTGGCGTGGGTGCATTGCAGACGTACATGCATGTGTGTGGCCTGTGTGCGTCAGAGATGTGCATACGTGTGCGGTGCGTGTGCATGGGAGATGTGCACACATATGCAACCTGTGTGCATTAGAGATATGCACACGTGTGTGGCCTGTGTGCATYGGAGGTGTGCACCTGGGTGCAGAGTATGTGCACTGGCGTCCTGAACGTGTGTGTGGCTGTCGTGTGTTGGAGATGTGCACATACGTGGTGTCTGTAGGTGCACGTTGGAGGTGCACGTGTCTTCTCGCCCTGTGTGCATCTACATGTGCATTAGAGGTGCATCCTCTATGTGCACCAYGTGCATTGGGGCAGGGCACGCGTGTGCACCACATGTGCTAAATCCATGTCGGGTGAGCACAGCATGCGCACCCTGGAGGTGTGCACAGCTGGGCATGTTGGAGCTGTGCAGGCTTGCTCAGCACGCGTGTGGGCACCTTCATGTCAGAGGCATGCAGGACTGTGCGTGTGCATGGGTGCCGTGCATGCATGTAGAGTCACCTGCAAGGTCACTGTGTGCATGCGTGTGCATGTGTGTGCATGTATGTGCAGGGGTGTGCATGCGTGTGCATGGGCGCCTCTGTGGACTCGGGGGCTCCAGCTCCGCCTTGCCCCTAAGCTGCTCTGCCCAGGAATTTCCTGACTAATTTTGTTCTATGTCAGAAAATTCCCAGTTGCTGAAAGCAGAGAATTTCAGGKCGGGCTGAGCCCGCTCTGAGACGAGAGCAGTTTCTGCTCCGCGCCGGCCCGCGGCTCCCCGGTGCCGCCGAGCCGCTCTGCTCGGCTTCTCCAAGCTGTTGACGCTAATAAAAACCCAGAGCGCATCATGCGCTAATTAAAATTGCATTACCAAAAAAAAAAAAAAAAAAGAAAAAGAAAAAGAAAAGCCAGGAAAGCGAAAGGAATAAGAAGAAAAACCCAAACCTGTGTAGACCTTTGCCCAGGGTGAAATGCTGAGAAAGAAATTGCCGTGAGGGGTCGGAGCTGCTGCCGCCCCAGTGGCCACGGCCGAGCTGGTGGCTGCAAGGAGGACAACCCTGCATTTCTCTGCCCGGCTCGGCTGCGCTCCACGTGAGCGCTCTTTCCCACATGTATCCAACTTTGCAGCTCGGGAGAGAGCTTTTTTCTTCTTTTAATTCAACAGCAATCCCTGGAGAACATAAAACATGCATTTTTAAATCTTTGAGAGGCCAATAAGAGCGGGGAATCACATCGACAAATCAGTGATGGCAGGTTATCTGCGGGAGAAAAATGTGTTTTTAATGGAAAGCCATCATAGGTGGCTCTTGAAAAGAGCCCTTATTTTGGGACTCTCAATGCGGCCAATGTGTGCAGCCGCTGCATTTATAATTCTGCATTTTTCTCTTGGCCGGAAACCGTTGTCTCCAAAGCTTTTGTCAGTCCCTGAAACCTGAACCGTCTGCTTTTGGACTGAAAACATTTTCTTTTCCTGTCATTTCAAAGGAAAACTTGGGAGCAGCTCTCCTGGCAGACATTTACGACTGCGGGAAAGAATTATAGCTGCGCTGTTAAACAGCCATAATTGATCAACATTGCAGCAATATTCGCAATATCCCCGTGCCACGGACGGGAGCCACTGCAAATACCACTCGTGCACTAAATTAGGCGTTATTATTTTATTACTGTTGTAAGGTAAATGTCAGGCTGCTTAATGGCAATCACTGGAACTCCRGCAGGAGCCTGGCGTCGGAATTAGCTCTTGGAGGTGAGAAACTCCCGGGGTTGGAAGTTAATAAAACTCAATAAATATCAGGAGCCCTTGGCAAGGTGTCTGCGGAGACACAGAGGAGGAGAGCGGCGAGGACGGTGACCGCCGGGAAGGGACCCTTCCCACCCAGACTGGATTTGCCATGATAACAAACTGGGGTTTTGCCCAAAAAGCCATTTTTTGGTGCYGGAAAGCTCCCGTCAGTGCCAGCGAGGAGGGAAGAGTCGCTAATTCTCCCCGCCACTAATGAGCACGAGCCGCTGTGACGGGAGAGAATTTAATCTGATGCGGACGGAGGGAGAAAAGCGATCCCGAAATAACGCGTGACTAATTGATACCCAGAACATTGCAAATGATTAAAAGGCTTTTGATTTCCGTGCAGGACAATAAGAGGCTTGTGGGCTTAGAGTGGTGCATCCCTTAGGGTTTTTATGTTTTTTTTTGCATGCTTCTTGCTCCAGTTTTCCTTGGAAATTTTACCGTATCCATAAGGTGGCTACCTACAATGGGTGCAGCGCTGGGAAGGTCCCGGTGGGCAGGCGAGGGGGTCCGTGGGCAATGGGGCCGGCACCACCGGCAGCACGAGCGGCTCGTGATTAATACGGCGCTCTTTAGTATAATGAAAAACCCATTAAGGTCAGCGGCAGCCTCTCCGAGCGGCACTAAATCGGAACGATGGAGACAGTAAAGTTAAAAACGAGCCGTAATATTAATGCGGATAGTGAATTAATCGGGCAATTCTGCTGGTAGTGAGTAAATCAGAGCGGCGCCCGCGGCTCTTGGCCGCTCTCCTGGCGTGGGGAGGACGTGTCCGTCCGCGCCTCGGCACTGCCATGGATTTATCCCATTGTGGCGGGGCTGTGTGCGTGTCCATCCTACAGCAAATAGGCAAGAATGAAAAATAAAAGCAGCTTATTAGCTGTCTAGGGTTTATCGACCTGGCTTATCTAGGGCGTATAGGACTTCCCCTTGGAAGGAGCCCTTGGGAAAGGCAACCACCTCCTCCCTGCACCACGGCTCCTTCCACAACGGGAGCCTTCCAGGGAGCCTTATCCAAATGCCGCCCTCCCCTCCCCAAACAGCAGCCCCCGTCTCCGTTTTGCTAGAGCACTGTCTGTTTCCCTGTCCAAGGCTCCACTTCTCCAGAGCGCTTCCTGCGCGCGGGACTCGCTGCAGCCGGGGAGTCCGTGCCCAGCATTTCTCTAGTTTGTTCTTTTTTTCCACCAGGATTGCAACATCTGTAATGCAAAGACCAAGCCCGTGTTCCCGCGCTGTCCCCAGCCACGGCTCCCGGYGCAGAGCCGTTTTCCCCTGGGAGTGCTGAGCATCACTGGAAGCTCCGTTTTGCACAGCAGACCACGTTGTTACAAATGCTGCAAGGCCGATGGGGCTGTTAGGATGCGAGCGGGGCGGCGATGCAGCCCGGCGCTGTGGGGCCCTTCTCCTGGGCCGCTCCGGAGCCGCGGGAGCTGCGTGGGGAAGGTGCTGCAGGAGCGCGCGGAGCGAATCCTGCAGCGGGGCCTCTCTCCCTCCTCATGCTACCACCTAGCGGCGCCTCGCCACGGAGTCCTGGGGCGGCTGGCGCACGCCGAGCGCTTGCTGTGCATTTGCTGCATGCTTGCTGCGTGCTTGCTGCATGCTTGCTGCATACTCGCCGCACTCGCTGCATGCTTGCATGTTTGCTGCACTCTTGCTGCACGCCGGGGCTGCTGATGGAGCCGATGCTGCTGGTGCATGGGGAAACACGGTGGGGCAACAACCTGGGTTGGCAAATGTGGGTTACACCCTGGTGCACAGGGCAGCACCTCTGCCCCACGGCTCCCCAGTCCCGCTCTGCCCAAACACCTCAGACCCTATTGCTTGGAGCCACCTTGCTCTTCCCTGCCCATCGCTCTGCTGTCCCCGGCTCCAGCAGTGCTGTCCTGGGGAGTTTGGGAGGGAAGACGGGGCCTAAGGGCCTGCCCGGCCAAGAGCCGGGTGCTACTCCGGGGTCTGCACGCTGGGTTTGTCCCTGCAAGGCGAAATTCCTGGGAGAACCTACTTAGCTTTGCCTCCAACTGCAGCGTGATCACTTCTGCATCCTCACTACTTTGTTTTGTTTTGCTTTGTGCTGTGAGACGCTGCTCACTAAAGGAGCATTTTTCTTGCTTACTGGGAATTCCTGTTTGTCATTTTTATAAATCAGCAGTTTATTGGTCTAATTATTGCAAACGTGGAGCCCAATAAAGGTGACTGTGATTGCAGTAGCTGATAATGAATTTTATAACAAACCTGCTGAGCCCGAAAGCTGCCAGCAGGAAAGACATTATGTCAGGTTAATGGCAGGGAGGAGAAGCCCTCCCCGCTCTGCTCCCTCCGAAGCACGACGGGTCCGAGCTCCACCGCTCCATCCCCTGCACTGCCTGCGGTGACTTCCCAAATGCGGATCAGGGCTGGAGTTCTGGCAATGTTAAAGCTGGAGTGTGGTGGGTTTGGTTCCGCCCTGGCCRTGAGCAAGCGCAGGAGCGAGGAGACAAGGAGGGAAGGTGGTTGCTCCTAGACAGCGCGGAGGAAGAGCCTGGTGTTCCCGAGGGGCCGGCAGCCGCTGCGCTTGGCGCTGCTCAGCACGGGAGCAAACTGGATTAGCTGCCACAAATCCGTGGGGCTGAGCGGGTGGGTTCGTGCTGGGGTCTGCTCGCTGAGCTCA